GGGGTACTCACTGTGATGGTGGACTTGCCGGCAGGTTTCCCGTACTTGAGAAAGAGCAGTTTGTTCACCCGCTTTTGGGCCACGATCTACGAGGAGGAGCAGAAAAGTCAGCGGGTGGCGCCCTGCTTAGGGCAGCGGCATAGCTTGGCCCACTTACAGGAGCCTTTCCCTGCAGACGCTTCTCCTGGCTCTCGTGCCTGGCCCACTGGCTGGCAGAGAAATGTTTGCCCTAACCCTAACCCTAAGCCCCGGCCACAAGGCCAGCCACCTTGCGGTGGGGGCAGGTGGCTGGCAGGTGTGGGACTCGCTCACGCCTCTGAGCCAGTTCGTCACCCCTGAGCCAGCCGACCCTCCCCTTACCAGGGACGCAAACCCCGTCCTGCCTCCGGCCCCTCACGATCCGCCTTCCCTTCCCTCGCCTCACCTGCCCCACCGTGCACTCCATGCCTCCCAGGAAGTCGTCATCGCCACCGCCGTGCCCGTGGATGTCATAGACCTCAAAGCGCAGCTTCTGCACCTCCTCAAAGTAATAGTCCACCATGAAGACCTTGGCGAAGACCGGGTTCAGGTTGCTTTTGATGACCTCAGTTCGGTCCACCTGGGAGGTGCAGAGAGGGCGTCAGTGTGACCCACCAGGGGCCGGGACTGCAAAGTCCAGAAGGCTTGGCCTGCGCAGCGAGAGGGAGAGAAACCCAGAGCCCCCCGGCTGCCTGTGGGAAGAAGCGTGGCTTGCAAGCCAGCTCCGCGAACGGGCGCGGCGCTTGTGGTCACCGGGGCCAGGCAGAGGCCCCCGGCTGCACGTCAGGAGCGCTCCAGGGGATGCAGCCCAACAGCGCTCCCCGGGAGCCCTCGGGCATCCCTGGGCCTGGCAGCTGCCTTGCTCCCGAGCTCCGCTTCTCGGCTGCCACTCCCGTGGGCTGGGCGCGGGGCTCCTGCAGGGCTCCAGAGCCAGAGGAAAGGGAGCAGCGGAGAGGCTGGGACGGGCCCGCGCCCCTCAGGAGCCTCGCTGGGCTTCAGTGCCGCTGTGCCCCTGCGATGGGGAAGCTATGGGGGGGGAGATGGGACGCCTCTGTTTCGGCTGTGGCTTCTTGAGATGGGGACACCAAAGGGGGGGGGTCCTGCCATCCTAGGGACCCTCTGCCGGAAAGGATAGAAACTTTGACGAAGCCTTCAGAATGGAGTGAGCGGAATGCAGATGAGATGGAAGGAGCAGC